GAAGAACCTCAGAAAAAGCCTGTTTCAATTGAGTCAAAACCAAACCATGATCCTGACCTACTACATCCAGTCCCTCCGTCAGCCCCTCTTGTGGTTTCCCTGTCTTATGAAGGAGGTCTGTCTGTAGTCAGTGCAAAGGGTCCTACCAGCCCTCCTAGGGCTGCTGGTCCGGCTCTGTACTGCCCATACCAGATGGTCACAAAGGAACACTCTTTCTTCCCCATACCCACCAGGGTATTCAGTTTGGCCCAGGGAACACTCTACCTCAGGCAGGGCATTTCCGTTAAGACAGGTCCCAGCAGGCTTAGATGACCAAGGCCAACCCAGGGGTTCTCCTGTATCAGCCTTGGATTTATACAACTGGAGAAATAATAAGCCATCTTACTGAGATGAGCCTCAGAAAATGGAGAATCTCTTTAATCCGTTTTGCTACTCATCACCCTAACTGGGCTGACATACAGGCCCTCATGAATACCCGACTGTGGAAGAGCATAGGATGGTATTAGAAAACGCTGCCAGGAAGCTGGAAGTTTCCCTGAATCACAACCAAATCATCCAATCGGGACTCCGGCGGCACAGGCCACACCTGGAGCTGAACCAGGATGCTGGGACCCGAAAGACCCAAGGGAACTGAGCAAGCCTGAATCATCATAAGGGATGTTTAATAACCAGACTTCAACAGGAGCCCCCAAACGGCAGAGCTTGAATAAGATCCAGGAAGTACGGCAAGGACCCCAGGAGAACCCATCCACCTTCCTCGAGGGGGTTTTTGAGGCTTACAGATGATACGCTGCTCTGGATCTCGAACACCCAGCTGTAACTGCTCACATGCCCTGTTCCCTTTTTGGGAAAATTAAATGCACTCCCACATCAAGCCTCTGCCCCACAAGCTGCCCCATTACGATCGGGAGACCAAGCCTCCCCCAGAAACCCCTGAAGAAATTCTGTAAAAGGTAAGCGTGGATGTTCGGGCTGACGGGAGGCCGGGAAGAGACAAGACGGCTTACCTAGTAGTAGTAAAACTCCGTCCAGAGGCCAAGACTCCGAATGTGAAGCAACAGGCATTTAAAGAGGCATTTGAAAGAAGGTATAAAGCCTCGGACGACCACCTTTCTTAAATGCCAATTACTCTGACCTTGTCAATCCTCATGTAACACTCCCATCCCGTCGGTTCGAAAACCCGGGACCAGCGATGACTTTTACACAGGATTTGAGGGCTGTTAACCAAACTGTAGAGGATATACATCTGGTGATGCCAAATCTTTATACTTTACTTACAACTTTATCCGGAGACTTTTGCTGGTTTACAGTTCTGGAGTTAAAAGATGCCCTTTACTGCATACCCCTAAGTCCTGAGACCCAGGGGTTTGCCTTTGAATGGGATGACCCAGAGTCTGACGTAAAACAACGATACGGCGGGATGGGACTCCCACAAGGATTGAAGCAGGACCCCACCATCTTCAGGGAAGCCTTAGCCTCGGATTGAAGGGATCTCCAATTAAATGAGGGAGTCTTACTCCAATATGTGGATGGTATACTAACTGCTCGTAGAACTAAGGAAGCGTTAGGACCAAAATACTGCAAGGGAAAAGCACAAATTTCTCAACCAACTCTAAAATATTTAGGATTTGAGGTATCCAAAGGACAAAGAAACATTGCCAGATGGAAGAGAAGCAATAGTTATGGTGACTGTAGCCACTACCAGAAGGCATTCTTGAGGATTCTTAGGAATTGCTGGGTTTTGTCGTCCTTGGATTCCTAACTTTGAATTCTGCGACAATATGAGGCTCTTAAAGGGAGTGACAATACGCCATTAAGCTGGACTCCGAGATGCCATAATGAGTTCCACAGCATCACGGAGAAGCTTTTCACAGCCCAGCACTTGGTCGCCCAAGCATTTTGTGTCTGAAAGACAGGGCGTGAGTCTTGGAACGCAAACTCAATGTTTAGGTACCTCCAGAAGGCCAGTAGTTTACTTTTCTTGAGTCCAACAATTCGGCGTGTACGTCAAGTATGGCCAGTTTGCCTCTGGGCTGTGGCTGCAACCTATGACCTTTCACAGGAGGCTGAAAAACGTACCCTGAGCCAGCCGGCCACTGTGCATGCCCCGCGCAGTGTGCCACCTTTACTTGAACGGAACGGCGGATGTAGGCTTACTTCGGGGAGGCTGGGCAAATACCCGGCCACACCACTTGACACCCCAAATGTCACATTACAGGTGGTTTCCACTCTAAACCCAGCCACTCTGCTCCCCAGGACGACAGGAGAGCCTGCTCACGACTGTATACAAATAACTGAATACAACCTGACTGATCAGCCTTTAGAAAATCTGGAAATGGAAATATTCACGGACGCGAGCAGCTTCACGGACGAGGCGGGGCTTGGAAAGGCCGGGTGTACAGTTGTAGCTCATCAGGAAGGCCTAGAAGCAGAAGCCCCCGTCTAGGTCCGTCTGCCCAGAAGGCCGAGCTCACAGCCCGCACAGACCCCTGAGCCTTGGAGCTAAGGAAAAGGTGACTATCTATACCAATTCCAAGTTTGCCTTCTCTGTCCTACGTGCACACGGGGCCACCTGGAAAGACTGGTCTACTGACATCAGGAGGAAAGAAATTCAACATGCAGAGGAGACACCAGCCTTATTAGATGCTGTTTTATATATACACACATATTTATATGTATAGATGCTGGAATAAGTAGCCATAGGACATTGCCTGGGCCACCCAAAGACTGATCGTTATATAACTAACGGAAATTAGGCTGATCAGACTACAAAACAGGCAGCCAGAACGAAAAACCCAGATCCTAAGGCTTCAGCACTCATTCCAAGTGTGGACCTGTCCCTGTTTAAGCCTCAGATCTGGAAATGGATCTCGAGAGAGCAGACGCATGGGGATTTCATGCTGACTCCCGAGACTTACACGCTGATCAGGACCAAACAACCACAGAGGCTGGGTTTATAATGAGCTTATACATGAGCATGTGATGCATGCTCACCTACATTAAGGTACCCATGCTCACCTGCATTAACTATTACTCACCTACATCAAGGTACCCATCATGGGAGGGCTGCACAAGTTTATTGTTGGTCTATAAATGCAAACGACCATCCAAAAGGTAACACAAAATTGCCTGATCTGCACCGGAAACAATCCTAAAACTGGGCCACCCCTGATGATAAAAGGGGTGCAAACCCGAGGGACAGAACCAGGGGATGATTGGTAAACAGACTTTACTGTTAGGCCAAGAATCAGGGAACATTGTAGATATCTGCTGGTGTTGGTGATGCCCCTGCACACCGGGGCAAAGCTTCTCCACGCAGCACAGAGAATGCTTCCTAGGTAACAAAGGCCTTCCTCAAAGAAATGATCCCTCGTTTGGGGTCACATCTTTCAATTCAAAGTGACAACAGAGGAGCTTTCATAGCCAAGGTGACTCAAAGGTGTCTGGGGCCCTCGGAACACGATGGAATTTCATGCTTCCTGGAGACCTCAGTCTACGGGGAGGACTGAAACGATGAATCATTCCTTGAAAGAGACAGTCACCAAAATAGGCCAAGAAACCAACGTGACTTGGGATAAGGTCTTACCAGCTGCCCTGCTGAGGGTCAGAGTGGCCCCTAGAAGCAAGCTTCAATTGAGCCCTTATGCGATGTTCTCTGGGAGACCTCCCTGAAGGTCTCATGTGGTAACAGAATTAGATTTGATAAAATGTGTACAGTCTCTCAGTGGTGTCGTATCTTCTATACATAAAAAGCATCTAGTCCATTAATGCTTCCCACGGACGTCCCCCCGCATTGCACAAGCCCAGGGACTGGGTCCTCCTTGAACCTGGACAAACCCACAGCCTGCGGACCAGTGAAGCCCGTGTGGAACGGCTCCTATGACGTCCTTCTGGTTACATATCCTCCAGTAAAGCTAAAAAGAGTCAAGCCTTGGGTCTCCTACTCCCAGAAACCTTAAATCACTTTTCAGAAGGAAACAGAACAGCTAAGACTCCACCTGGCTGTGACGAGAAGACAATGATGTCTCGACAGTAGCCTGTTTCTGCCCAAGCCTGGACCAGGCCTACGTGAATCCAAGTTCAATCACTAAAATGTTAAAAATAACATGTTTTCACGGATTCCCAAAGTCGCAGTTCTGTGTATCTTAGGGCCAAACCCTCTTTACTCATCAAATTTGTCCTCGTGGTCCATCTTGTATTTTTAAAAAGTCCTCTCCCCCACTCGCAGGATGACTGCCCAAGACCAGAGTTCAAGGCGGGACTCGGGAATGCTTACAAGTAAGTGCAAAACAATTTCATTCCTCTTATAAAGATCCATGCCCCTCATCAGCTGAAAGCAGCTAGCCGGGTCCTCGCCCCTACTTCCCTCCAGACCGAGGAACGCACAAAGGAGACGCAGGTAAAACATCACCCAGCTTAAGCTCGTTTGCCCCCTTAAGTATGTTCATTGCGCAAACCTGAAGTCATTTTACAGAGACAGCCCTGCGCATGTGCAAGACGGGTACGGGCGTCTCCAGGATGACCCCAACAGCACGAGGAGCTTTCTTGGACTGATTAGCAAGGCAGCTTCCAAGCCTGAAATTCCCTAAACCCTTAAATTCCGGTCGGGAGATGGATTTGAGCCAGGCCTCCTGTCTCCTTGCTGGTCGACCTCACAATGAAGCTTTTTCTTTTCACAAAAGACGGGGCCACCCATCTTAGTTTAGGCATGCGGGATCTAGTTCCCCCACCAGGGATCCAACCGGGTCCCCTGCATTGAGAGCGCAGAGGTTTACCCACTGGACCACCAAGGAAGACAGCATGCAGCAACTATGACCCAGCACAGCCTGAAAGAGTAAAAAAAAAAAAAAAAAAACAAACCCGGGGCCATAATATTGGCTTCTATGCCCTTCCGGGAGCCAGCCCTTGCTGGGTAACAGAAATCTCTTCTTTCACATTAAAGTAAAGCCAAAAGACCACGCGCATCATCTCATAGCATCTCCACAACCAAAGAGTCGTACCTGACCCGAGGAGGTGGGTTCCCGGCGACTCTGCACTCGAGGTACACCCGACTTCCTTCTGCCACCTCTTGGCTCCGCAGCTTCTGGATGAACCGGGGAGCGGCCAGCAGGTGACGGGCAGCCGGGGGAGAGGGGCTCCGGCTGGGCTGGACCACGTCCCGGGCCGCCGCGGGGTGATGCCCGGGCTCCAGGGGCTCGGCCCCGGCTTCCACCTCCTGCTGGTCCCCGGTTGGGCTCCGGCTGGCCGAGGCGCTCATCGGGGCTGACAGCTGGTTCTTAGGGGACAGGTACCCGCTGTCCGGGGATGAGGACTCCCCGTTGGGGTTCCTGGTTCTCGGCTTGGAGGTTTCTCTGAAGATGGCCGTCAGCTCCTCGATGAGGGTGGCCGCCTTGTTGCACAGCGGGCTCTGGGGCCCGGCCCTGCCCCCGTGCGTGGCTCTGGGCTTGGCACTGGCGCTGGGGGCTTTGGCACCGTGTTGCCCTGCCCTGCGGAGACTCCGGATGTAGCTGGGCCGGGCCAGCAGGGGCGAGACGCCGGGCTTCCTCCTGGACGCAGGCGAGGAGATGCGCTCGGCTCGTTCTGCTGGCAGCGGCGGGACAGGTGTGGGCTTGTGTGCGCCAGGCGTCCCTGGGGACAGGTGCTCACCCGGCCTGGCCCCCTGAGGGGGAGGCGACCCCCAGAGGCTCCCAGGAGAGGGGCTGAAAATCTGCGAGTCCTCCCTTTCCGAGTCGCAGTCCTCTGTCTCTGAGTTGGCTATGGCTCTGCGGGCCAGGTCCAGACTCTTGTTTATCTCCTCCTGGCTGAGGAAGGCCGACAGGCCGGGCAAGAAGTCTGCGTTCTCGCCATCTTCCGCCACGTCTGACAGGGAGTCGTAGAAGGAGTCACGGGAGGACATGTCGGACATAGTCAAGAGACGCTCATGCACTCTGTCTGATTTGGACAGGAAGGCAGGGGCCTGGAAACCAGCTCTGAAGGACAAGAGACACAACTGCAGTTAGTAGGGGCGAGTGGTGTGTGTGTGTGTGTGTGTGTGTATGATCACAATACTGCTCATCCACAAGTTGGGAGAAACAGTAAGACAAACAAATATGCTTTTTAAGTCATTTTCTCCTATAAATTGGAAGAAACGTCAAGCACACTTGTGTTTATCATTTTAATTCGGTATTTGCCCTGTGAGTGAATACTAATCATCTCACTAAGCATCATTAAATAACTCAGGAGGGCCACGCCTGCCGTGGGTGCTGTGAGTGGACCAGGGCCCGCTTCCCTCCCCCCTCCCGCCTCCCCCCCTTACACCTCTAATTTCACTGATGTTATGAGAACAGGAGTTTGTTGATATTTTAAGCAAATCTGACACTGCTTATGTCACCCTAAACCACGAAATGCATTTTGATTCCAATTTTCACTGGTTTTTAGTTTTCGGTGAAATTTTTGAAACCTTTTCTTTTCCTGGTATCCAGACATGTGTATTCACATTCATTCATTCACTAGTTAATTCAATGAAATCGCTTACTGAATTTCAGGGGCAGAGGGACAGCTGCGCTCTAGACCAGGGGTTGGCAAACTTCCCCACAAATGGGCGGATGACCCCAGACCACTCAGCATGAGGGGGCATTGTGCTGACAGCGCTCTGCAGATTATTTCACTTAAAACCCTCACAACGGGCGGCCCCAGTTTAGAAAGGGAAAAACGGAACCAGAGGATGTGAGAACAAGAGCCCAGACGACGATCCCAGAGCCCACGCCTTCACCTTATGCTTCCCTACCATCATATTATCGTTTCACAGCCGAGGTCCCAGCAATGGATCCGACTAAGAAAACGTGGGTCAGAAATCAGAGTTCTGCTATTAAGGATATTTAGTGCAAAGTGAAAATAACAGGATAGATTTTAAAACCTCACCAAAAGCACTGTCCGAGGAAGCTAGAGAGCACACTTCTGAATGGTGAAACAACTTTAAATTCTTTTTTTTTTTAAATAGGGAGTGTTTGCCGGAGGCAGATTAAATCACCTGTTTATTCATTTATATTTATATTCATTTGGTTTTAAAGAAGCACCATCTGACAGGATCCAGTTGTCCAGATTAGGTGTAGCTTAGAAACCACTTGCACAGTGAAAAAGAAAACAATAGCAGGAAGGTATATGTGGTCCGGGTTTAATCTGCAACCCCGACATTGCCGCTAGAACATGCACGTGGGCTCGGGAAAGCGCTCATAGCATGGATGAAAGGGGAGGTTTCCACGTGGCCCAAACTCACCAGAAAATTATGCTTCAGAGATGTCCGTGTTATTCAACCTTCACATTAAAAGGTCGTAACCAAAGAGATACAACTGCAAACATTTCCGTTATTGCCCTGAGATTTCATGTGTTATTTCACACAGCGCTTCCGGCAGTTCCGTGCTGGTGACATCCATACAGAAAATGCAACACACTGGCAGCGGCGCAGAGCTAGTGGAGGGCCCGGGGGCTCCGGGCGGCAGACGTCCCGTGGTTCCCACGCGCCCCCGGCCCCCGCCGCCGCCATGGCCGGGTCGCCGGCGCCCAGCTCGCAGGAGGCGCTTCTGCTGGAGCTCAAGGCGCTGCAACAGGAGCCGGTGGAGGGCGTCTCGCTGAGCCCGGTGGACGAGGGCCGCCTGCCTACCTGGGCGGTGGCCATCTTCGGCCCTGACACCTACGACGAGGGCGGCTACTTCAAGGCGCCTCGAGAGCCCCCTCGACGACCACCGGCCTGTTAGTCCCTGACCAAGATGTAGCACCCCGACATCTACGGGACTGGGGACGCGTGCGTCGCCGTCCTCCGCCCACGCCAGTCCATGACGCCCTCAGAACGGCGGAGCCCCGCCCAGAACGTCAGGACGCTGCTCCAGAGCGCCGTCTCCCTCCCCCTCAGACCCAACACCTCTCCCGCCCACGGGGGCGCCTACGTGATGCACGGGAAGCGGGAAGAGAGCAAAGGCTAGTATCGCGAGTACACGGACAGCAACCGGAAGCAGGTCCCGGGGACGACGGTGCACGCGGAGCGGGGCGGCGTGCAGGTGCCCACCACGCCGGCCGGGTGCTGCATGAAGACCGGGACCCCGGCGCCCGCGGGGGCGCAGAGCTCTTCCACGAGGACGGCGAGGCCGAGGCCGACCGCTGCTTCTGGGACGACTCGCAGGACTTGGGCACCGAGAAGCCCTGACACCGCATCTTACCTCAGCCACCCGCCTGTCTGCCGCCGCCACCACCTACGGGCGCCAAGCGGCCCGGGGTCCCCCAGCCCGCGTTTCCGCCTCCGCCTCCACCTCCAGGGAGGCCGCCGCCCTCGAGGCCCTGGGCCCCGCGTGGGCTGCAGCCAGAGAGTCAGGGTCCCGCCTCGTGAGTGGACGGGTTGACTCGGGGTCATCTCTTCTCTCTCCTTTGGTTTGTTTGGAATCTAAATAAAGCAACTTTATGAGGAAAAGAAAAGAAAATGCAACACACTAAAAAAGAACTAATGTGTAAAAAGGAGTAAAGAAGGGGTGAGGTCAGTGGCCACTTGCGCAAGCAGGGTTGACGATTGGAAAGTGAGGCATAAGGTGTCTATAAATCATTGCCGCCCGCCTCTGTCCTCTTTTCTGAAGGAAGTCGAATTGCCTGGAAATTCCCTCTTCTCCTCTGCGTCTCCTTCATCGCTTCCTTGTTAGTTTGGTTTAGTTGTCGTTTCCCCTAAAACTCCCGTAAGCTGCAACTATTTTCTGTTTTCTTTGGCTTCCTGCGGGTCCAGCTTCTTCGTGTGGAGAAATGGTCCTTCCCAGTTTAGTCACTCTTCCTTTACCGGAATGATAAATTGACCATGAATTCCACTTACTATGCACAAGGGAAGCTTCCAGGAGGGCGAAGATGAGCCAGGCATGGTCTCTTCTGTAACCATCTTACAATCCAGGAGGAGGGATTAGGCAAGAGTCAAGAATGACCCAAAGACAAGGAGGAAAATGATGATTCCTGTTAAAATAGGAGATCGGAAAAAAAAAAAATAGGAGATCGGATGGTGAGAGAAATCACACTTACGAATTTGGCGGTGCCATTCCTTTGCTGCTTTTTTTTGCCGGTGGTCCCCCGGCCATTAAGAGAAAGTCCAAACGGGTCAGGCAGGTTACCTGTGCGCCCCTGGACGGTCAGCGAGATGTGAAGTCTCAGGCCTCGTCCCCCACGATCACTGTGACAGGCGCTGCGCCCACGCCCAGCCACCTGCTCCCACTCTGAACATCGTCTTCTTTCACGTCCCTGAGCTTTGCAAACGTGGTTTCTTTCGCCTTTCCCGTCTCTTCTGTTTTTCCAGCTCCAGCTCATCCTTGAAAAGTACTTAATTTCACTTCTTGTTGGTACTTTCTACGATCCTCCAGTCAATACAATTCACTCCTTCTTTTGAACATGACACTCTGCAGGAATTTTGTTGTAACATTCATTTTATTGAACTATAAGGATTAGTTAAGAGCCCTGTGAAGGCCAGGAAAGCAGGTGTTGCCTGATAGCCTTTCTGTGCTGGACGCCTGGCAGTGTCTGGGTCACGATCGTGGCAGGTGAGGGAGAAAACCACACCTAGTGTTTGAACCAGTTTTGAGCTCTGGGTGGGAATTGACAGGAGAGGGAGCCACGCATCCACAGCAGACATGGGACACTCTGCAGGTATCTTGTCCCCTCCTGTCCTGGAGGCCGCTCTTGTCCCCTCCACTCACTCAGCCCCAGGCCCTGTAGCACCTCCCTGGGACAGGCCGTCTTCGGTGAGGAATCGTTCTGCTCTTTGTGCAGCTTTGTCACCTGTCTTTTCAATGGTCACTCATCGCCGGGGCTCTGCTTTCTGAGAAGAACTTGATAAAGTAATCAGTGCTGCATGTTCATAGCTGCTAATGAATACACATAAAATACACATTACATGTCCTTGTACCAGTACAAAATGGTGGTAGTTCTGACACCACGTTACAAAAAAAAAGTAGACAGTGATTTGTATGGTTTTCATTACCCTCAAAGAAAGTTTGTCATGAAAAAATTCAGAACCGGAACGACATTTGTTTTCTGGCATCCCTGCTATTAGACGTCGGGAATTCTCTAAATGTTGACACTCTTCGACGTGTGGATACCGGTGAGCTCAGGGTTAAATTCTGAGTCATAGAAATATTGGGTTGGCCCAAAAGTTCATGCAGGTTTTTCTGTAACCAACTTTTTGGCCAACCCAATACAAATCATGTTTCTGGCTTACGTCCTCTGTTGTCTTATTCATCAGCATCGATTCGTTGAGTGCCGGCTATGCGCTAGGCACCTCTTCTGCAGGCTGGGGACACAACCGTGAGGAAGATGGGCTTCTCTGCCCTAAGAAGCTTCCATGTTAACAGGAAAAAAGACAAAAGTAGGAAACCAAGGAAATGTCAGGTTCTGATTGTCTTATACTTGGTTTGGTCTCAAATCTTTTGTTAGTTGATTTTGGGAAACTGTGCTGTGCTTTTATCCCTCAGATCATCTTTCAGAGTTGTTAGGGTACAAGTGGGATGGGACGGGATGGACGGATGCTTGCGGGCTCCCATCGGTGTCCGTAGACCGTAGCAGTTCTGGACAGCTCGCTGTGGGTGGGCGGGGCTGACGGTAACAGCAGGAGGACACTTCAGGCCGGCGATGCCTCAGACTCTGGGACTGTGCAGTGAAGGAACTGCGGGCGCCCTGGGGATTCTCTGAAGGCAGACCCCTCCAGCAGGTGATGGTGCCAAACCCTCAGGCATTAGCAAACATGTGGTAAAGCACAGGCTTGGGAGGGTCTGCAAATAGTGGGAGGCGTTATAGCTGCCCGCCCACCTTGACCTTCAGCAGACCTATCAGTGTCTGGCGTATCCCAAGGAAATGTTGCTATCAGACGTCAGCTCCCATGGTCGTTGCATCCCTGTGCATACTTCATCC